TTTCTACTTTATTATCACTTTCTGGCCCACGTGTGATAACGTCCTTAGAGTCGTACTGCATGACAAAAGAGAGTCAAGACACAGTGAGAGATAAGCTGATTTCTCCTTGCCTCTCTGCATGCCATTGAAGCAGTTTCATTTCTTTCCAAGGGAGACAGTCATAAAATCATGCCATTTGTCAAGCTGGAAAAATCCACTTGGCAAAAGGCATGCTTTTGGGACCATCTCTAAGTTGTTTCTCATAGGGCTTAGCATCTCAATTCTGGTTTGGTGATCATAAAGATGTTCAGACACTATTTCTACCCAATGATACTTCAATGCATTTCAAAGCCTGTATGACGAAGCAAGAGACCCATGTAAACAAACTCCATTATTTGACCATTTGCTTTTTTTTTTTTAATTGACTGCCATTCTGGGAGTACAAAAAGGAGCTGCATGTCCACACAAGCAGGGATTCTAGGCCAAGTGGTGCACAGGTGACAGGGAAAAACAGGCTAAGGATCATGAACTGTTTCCTCTTATCACAGTGTATAAGATGGCATTCTGCCAACATGCTTGAAGTCAACAAGCTGATAAAATTCTGCTATCCACCCCTTCTGGCTCCATGTGACACTTTCTTTTCCAGTATCTCCATTTCTCCCTTCCTATTTTTGACAAATTCCGTAAGTGTTTTGACAGAATTCACTTTCATTTCTGCCTTTTCTCTGGATACTTTTGTTATAAAGTGGATATTTTTTTCCTGCCTAGATTTGTTTTAAGGTTTTCTCTATAGCTTCCTGAGGACCTCTTAGTGGTTTGGCATTCTATGTATATGCAGCCACATATATAAGTTACTTATCAACCTCCAGGGAGCTCACAAACTAGAAGTGTAGTACCCAATTTTCTAGCATTACAGTCACTCAAAACTTCAGTTAAACACTAAGAATGCATCTACCCTGTAGAAATAATGCAGTTTGACACCACTGTAACTGCCATGGCTCCATTCTACGGAATCCTGCGATTTGTAGTTTTGTGAGGCACCAGCACCCTCTGGCAGAAAAGCCTAAAAACCTTGTAAAACTACAAATCTCAGGATTCCTTATGATGAAGCTACAGCCCTTAAAGTGGTGTCAAACTGCATTGTTTTTACAAGGTAGATGCACCCCTAGAATTGCTGTTAAGTATCCAAAGAAAAGGGGTGGCAAATTTGCCAAGGGAATGTGAACACAAGGGAATGTGAACACAATAAATATTATATATTATAGGTGTGAATTATTTTCAATGTTTCACTGTAATACTAGAAGTTTGGAAACTGAAGGAAAATTTCATTTGAGAGAGATGCATAACTTTTGTTTTATGGGTAAAGCTACATCCTTGCTGTAAACTAAAACACTCTGCAAAACATGTTAAGGAAAATGCAACATGGGACATACAGTGATGGAAATAA